ACCACCTCGGTCAGACCAGTCTGTGTTGGTGTGCAGTCGTTGACTGATGGACTGAGACGGAGGCTGCAGTGACTCCTTCTTAATGTGGGCATCTATGGCTCTCCCGCTCCGCGAGATACGAGCCAGGTTTAACGGCACGTTTAAGGCCGGCTCCGTCCGCGCCAGTCACCTGTACTCTTTCCCGCCTCTACTCTTCTTGACTTGGTCATGACGCCAGACCGAGGTGGGGGAGAGTGACGCAGTGGAGCATATGCAACGCAAGTCGTATACCACTCAAAAAAAATTCACGCGTAAACCACTACGATGGTCCTCAGCTTGATGAAGCATGCGGTAAGCATCATCATCTACATCGATGATCGAAAATGTCAATGCGAAAAATACAATCTTAAAAGTAATAAACTCCCACTTGCATTGCTATGTACAAAAGACCCTGTACTCATCCCGTGTTTCCTCAAATGCTGAGGGGGAGATTAACAGTTTGTTGCTGTTTTTATTTGAAAAGAAAACTCGATTTACTCTTTTTATCAGTATTTACGCGCAAATCTGCATAACCATAATAAACCTCACGCTTTCCCTCGATGGGCGCAAATAGGGGATACGAAGCAAAACATTCTCCTGGTTCACGAACCCTGGGGAACATGTAACGCAACTGCACAATGGCCTTCCGTAAAAAAAACCCATTGCATTTTATTTGTGTTTTTCACTTACTTATTTGCATATCACTGAAGCTACTTCCAACTGCGTAAATCAGGAAGAATACGTGAGAGGCAAATAAAAGCTGAGTACTGCGTTACAAAGTTGATTTGAATTTTTGCTGGCTTGAGCACTAATTTCTCAGTTTAAAGGATCGTTAATCCGTAGTATTTCTTTACTTAAGAGTAATTGTCCCATCTGTGGTTTCGGTTATTTTATTTTGAATTATTTGGAATTTTAGCCATGAGCAGGAGTCCCCCTGAAAGCTTTGCACGTCAAAGCTCAAGCCTCGGTACCGACTATGTCCTTCCCAATCCCATGCTGGCCTCGTCTATACAGCCCAGTGTCCTGTTGACTACTTCTGAGTCCAACCAAATGTCTTCGGAAAGAGGTACTTTGACTGAAACGAGTTTACAGCAGAAAAATGCTCAAAAATGTTAAAGTACCATGTAACTCTATGTTGAACTGAATTTCAACTTACGTTTTCGTAAATTCCGAGTCAGTCTTAAGAGCTTCAGGGTAAAAATGCATCGTTGAACTACAGTTTTTTGCATGCGTTTTACCTGTAATGTTGAATACTAATAGTGCCATATACGGGCGGGTCATTTTGGGTAACATAACAATCAGGAAGAATTTGTATTTTCTAAATATTAGCACGCATTAATAAGTTAACGGAACATGAAATGGTACAGAGAACGGATAGAAGTTGGATTGAAAAATTGGCAATCGCGCAGCACTGAGCTGGAAGGATGTAATTTGTGAACATTTCTGGTTTTTTGCTTGAAAGTGCTCGATCAATCCGCTCTAATTCATTTTTTGAGAATCCAAACGTCAAGCATTTCAACCACGTTAATTATTATAATTTTTGGCAAACGACCTTGATTTAGCTCTCGATTTATGTCTGATCCTTTTAATTTTTCCCTGTTAAAGGCAAGTCGTTTAGTGGCTATCAGGAGAATAGTTCAACACGTCCTCTACTCAATTCCGTATCAGAGGCTTCCCCAACACCCAACGTTCTTATTCCACGTCGCGATAGCTCCGAGGTCTGTCCCAAAAGTTATGCTGCAACCCCTACTACTAGCCGCAGTCTTCCTGATGAGGATTCAACGAAACCTCGGCTAAACTACCAGGCGATAGTCTCGCCAATGCCGTTGCTATTGGACAACATTGCCGGCAGCGTCGCCTCGGTACCGGCCCATCTGTACGAGGAGGAAACAACGGGAGACTCCTCGTCCACGCATTCCTCTATCTCCTACTCGCGAAAACCTACACCCAGTGAAGTGTCCATCGAAAACCCCAAACTTGACGGTTATTCCTCCAATGAGGACCCGTTTGTCTATCATAACTTTGCCGCCTCCCTTTCAACCTCTCCACAAACCCCAAACCCCAGGGCTGAGAAAGATGCGTTGACTTCGGTCAGTGGAAAGGCCGCCGCCATGCATAACTCGTTGGTAATTAAGGCTAAAAAGGAATGCAAAGTGGTCGGAGTTGGGCACATGGGCCCCTTTGTGGTGACGAATTTCACGGCCCCTGACTTATGGGAACAGGCGCCAGACCCTCTGTTGGGCACTTCGCCGCCTGTTCGATGGCGGATGCTAGGTGGTCCTGGTCTGATTGATGAAGAAAAAATCAGTTCTGTATAATAAATTAAGATACCTACAAGTTGGCTGAGGGTTACATTGCATATTCCATTATAGATGGTAACAGTAAAATGTTCCATATTCTTGTGCTCAAAAGATAAACAATGTTCCGACGATTATAACATTTGTAAGCTACGAATGTGAATGAGAGCTATTTATGATGCCTTCGTGTATAACCTTCAGTTGCCAATCTGTGTGTGGTTATCTTTAAATTTCCTTTCCGCCCTGAAGAAACTCCGTATGTACATTTATTCAAAAGATTTCTATGACCTCGACTTCTTATTTTCCTCTTTAAAACTTGTGTTAAAGATTGCATCTTAGGGTTCAGATTCAATTGTTCTTCGCCACTGTGGTCGGTCGTTCTATCAAGAAACTTTATCAGCCTTTTCAGAAGTGATTCGCTTTGCTAATATAAGCGAATATGCGTGTCCCAGGAAGTAATTGAGTAGTAGAAGACGACTCGGGGAACACACGGGCCACCACATCATCTTATGCCAACACCACAAGGCCAGATGGTCATTACTGACGCAACGAACCAGCGCACACTCAAGACATTTATCGATTTTTTCTGCACGTTTAAATTTTACGGCAGAACCCTGTGCACACACAAACTGTTTCGGCTACTTTTTGTGAGTGTGGCTCTGATGATGAATCCGCGACGGATTTCGGAACTTTAGGCGAATAAACATATTGTCCCAGCGATCGAGTCGTCTTCTCCTTCTCAATGATTCGCTTTGTAGACTGTTGTTCGGCAACGAGGCGATATACAAGAGACTGGTTACAGTTTCACTGAGATCATTATTCTGAGACTATCAGTTCTTTTTCTTGCAAAATTATTTACCATACAGGCAGTACTGCTATTAGCTACTGCTATTAGACACGCGTTTCACCGGTATTCTGCCGCTGTTTGACACAGCCACAAGGGGTCCGGCTCATCGGTGTGTGTTTTGCGGTTGCTATAACAGTTTTAAAATATCCGCTTTTTAGTCTCCTCAGAAATTTGAGGCATTTTTCCGTGGTACAAATTCAAAGCATGCAAATTCTGCAGGGGTTATTGGAGGCAGAAAATGTCGCACTCATCTATTGCGAAACACTTGCTTGATACGGGTCAGTCTGTGGACCCTTAAAAATCCTTTCGTGTACTTGTTCGGACTCTAACAATTCTAGAAGTTCAGAAGTCAAGTTGACAAACATATATTTTCAGCAAACCTTCGTCAGGCCAAGACATTTGCAGAGGTAATTAAAATTGTGCAGTTGGGCACCTGCGCCAATGGGTGCTTGCAACAGCCGAAGCGGTGGCCATATGGCTCGCGAATCCAGTGCTGCATTATCAGAAGACGCGGACACAAGCCTTTGCACTTCCGTAGCCGATCGCGAGGAGAGATTTCGATCGCATTTTGCCCCCACTCTCCAGTGACAGTCGCTCGCTTCGTGAAAATAGCAGCAATTATCACCCCATGTATCGGACCTCTGATCAACGCCCGCAACCTAATCCAATTGTCCCCCCCTCCTTAAACTCAGGAACATCTACACGCCGACTTCGCCATGTGGGCGACGTATAAAGGATTAATTGTAATTAGACTACCCTTATAAACTCTGCCCAACTGTACAGTTTTTATTACCCCTGCAAAT